AAGAGCATCATCGCCTGTATTTATGGAGCAGTGTAGCAATCGCCCACAATCCTCATCATCAGGGTTTAACTCCGCAACTTCAGCATCAAGATACAGACCTTTACCACTTGAGCTAAAGGAGTAACTCCATTAGCTAGTGTCACATCCCCATCTAGTGGAGATGTGATACACCAACACTGCTGATCACGATCATCTCTCTCCTCTTTCCCTCACCCAGTGGCAGAAGTCGAGGAAGCCCTGAAGATGGACCCTGAGGCATTTAAGATGAAATATCGCATGGACAAGCCACAGATGGATGATGAGAACTTGATCTTCTACTGCCAGAGGGGCAGGAGAGCGGCTCAGGCCACAGAGATCGCCATAACCCTCGGCTATGCCAAGTGAGCCTGCCCCTCCACCTTGGGCTCTTGTACCATGGGGCATTAGACCCTCAGGGAGATTGTGAACGTACCACGGGCTCTGTGGGTTTGGAGGCAAGGGTTGTAGGTGCTTAAAATGCCCTGGTTCCTATGGACTCCGGCCCTTCTGAGCGTCCCCCCTAAACTCTCACATATAGGGTTATTAATAGAGAAATCATTGGGTCTGGTGGAGGAGGAGAGGGCTCAGATATCCCTCCGCACCGATCTTGCTTATATTGGTGTATTCTGGAGTAAACCCACTGGAGGGGGTGGTGGTGGTACTCCAGATTCTCACCAGGGCCACAGAGACAAAGTCTTGGTTAGCTACTGAGAGAGAGGACAGAATAATTCCTAGCTAACCCCATAGGGAATGTTCCCACAGCTACCTTGGTTCCTCAGGGACCTTCAAAATCATCCGTATGACCCTGTGCTGGGGACACGTTATTTCTCAAAGTTCTGGGCACAGCTCCGCCTCTGCTGTTCTGGTCCTACTTGGGTTTCTGGCCCATGAGCAGTCACAGCTGGGCTGGGTCTGTCTCTCCCACTCCAGAGGCAGCGGGTCCATCTAGCTGTGGATAGTCCCTCCCATCTCCCATCCTGAAGCCACATGTCACTTCCTGTCTCTTCAGGGCTCGTAACTACGAAGGCAGCTACAAGGAATGGTCTGAGAAGGAAGGGAAGTGAAGTGGGAACGACTCCGCGAGGGCTGGTGTCTGTCCCTCCACGCCCAGCAGCTGGCTTTTCCCTGAGGATTCTTCCTTTGCTTCCTTGCTGCAACGTCGTCCCATTGCTGCTGATGCCCAGTGCTGGGATGGGAACGCTCTGGGCCCTGGGGGGCTCTTGGCTAACGCACCTGTCTGAGAAGCTGCCACTCTACTTTCTGCCTCACCTTCCAGCCCAGTGTCTCACCTGCTCCAAATGTAGTCACTCCCCCTGCCCCCAATAGCAGCTGGGAGGTTCAGGCACTTTATTCGGGGTGGGGAGATATCTGCACCCCCCCCCATTCACTCCATCTCCCTCACCTCCCCTGGGAATCTGGGACCCCATCCATTTGCTCTTCAGCTCTCAAGGAGGTAGATTTGATGGTCATTTTGCTACCCCACCTCATTCTCCAGCTGAATCTGCCGCTTTCAGCTGTAGCCTGCTATTTCTATAACATACTGGGTGCCTCTCAGCCACCTCTGCACAGGGGATTTTCTCTGCAGCCACTCCTGGAAAAGAGAGCTCTCTAGCAGTTTCTTCTCAGCTCGTATAAATCTTTCGCCTTTTACTAAACACTTCCTCCGATGTAGTACATGGCTCTGATAAGGGGTGGGACATATGTGAAGGATGGAAGAATCCCATGCACTGCTACAGGCTGGGAACTGACTGGCTAAACAGCAGTTCTGCAGAAAAGGACCTGGGGATTACAGTGGACGAGAAGCTGGATATGAGTCAGCAGTGTGCCCTTGTTGCGAAGAAGGCCGGCTGCATTAGTAGAAGCATTGTCAACAACTCGAGGGAAGTGATTATTCCCCTCTATTTGGCACGGGTAAAGCCACACCTGGAATATTCGTCCAGTTTTGGTCCATCCGTCATCTTCTCTTCTTCCCCCTCCTCCTCCCCCGAAGGGATGTGGACAAATTGGAGAGAGTCCAGCGGAGGGCAACGAAAATGATTAGGGAGGTGGGGCACATGACTTACGAGGAGAGGCTGAGGGAACTGGGGTTATTTAGTCTGCAGAAGAGAAGAGTGAGGGGGGGATTTGATGATAGCCTTCAACTACCTGAAGGGGGGGTTCCAAAGAGGATGGAGCTTGGCTC